GCTGCCTCTGCTGCTTCAAAGTCGCTGTATCTAATCCCAGCAGACCTTATTTTTGCAAGTATCCTCGCTTTCGGAATACCGTTATCGTCAGATTCCTCTCCTAGTGCATAGGCGACTGTGGCAACGATACGTTATGCTTACATATTGTTTTTTATTAGGGCAAACGCAATTCCCGAGACTCTTGCTTTAAATTGATTATAAATTCGAATACTGAAAACTTTATGATATACTGGCGAAATCAATTGAAATCAGCATAGTCATCATTCTCTTGATATTTCTTGGAAAAAAATTTTTTATAATATTTTCAGGAGGTATAGGCGGTTAGAGAAAGATAAGAACTTTTTATCTTTTAAGTATGATAGACGTAAAAAAAAAACTCAGAATCTTTTTATTTGAAGTAGATCATCTTTATTGGCCATTATTAAAATTAAATAATATCTTTTAATTTTCTTATATAACGAGAAGACTGTCGTAATGAATAGTTACTGCGATACTTGAATGATAATATTATGGTTGATGTATAACGAGTATTGATCGAGAAATTTAAATGAAAAGTTACTTCCAACACTTAGCTTAATGACTTATGTTTATTTTGCATTCATATTTAGATAATATTTCATTAGAATCTTCGTTAGAAGGAAAGCTTGGAGAAGGGGAAAAAGTGAAGTGCGGGAAATGTGCTTTCAGTATATATAAAGAAAACAGGAAGCGTTGGCTAAAAGACAGTATGAACATTCAAAAGAAAAAAAGGAAGATTTGCTGATTTACTGACAATTTTTTTCACGAGTCACCTACTAACTCGTCAATTACCATCTCATTAGCTCATTCCGTTCGCATGGTAATTTAAATATTATTTTAACTCACGGCATCGTACGCGCCTACGTTTTCCACTTACGCGTTCCTGCACTTTTCCACAATTCGCTCTCCTGCTTTCTTTGCTCTCTTCGGTAGCGGCACCCGCACTAAAGTTCCTATGATGTCCCCCCCCCTCCTGCTCCTCCTTCTCCCCTACTCCTTTTTCTCCTTCTCGTGCTGCGGCTTCTCCTCGAATATCCGCCCACCTAGTGTCGTCTCGAGTGCTCTTTACTGTCGAGTGTCCCCCGCGCATCATGGCACACCTTATTTGTAAAGAAAACTTTCCGCGTACTTCTTCATAGTATAAACTCGAGCTCAAAAGCCAACGTTTTGACAAACATTGCCTTATCGTGGATATATCGTACATTTTTTGCTACTACTGTAGTTGCTTATCCTAGATTTTTCGAATAAATTTTCTTTACATTCTCGATGCTTTTTTTTTTAACAGCCCTTTACGGTATTTTTACAATTGATTTTACTTGGTGATTGAAAATATAAATCAAGCCTTGCAAAGAATTGAGTTTATGAAAAACCTGTTTTTTTTTCTTAAATTAATTGAAAAAACATTCGATTGTATTTCATGCGATTGGGTAATATGCGGGGCGGTGAAATAATACAATGTAGACTATATATTAACTCGAGACACGAAACGATAAATTAGTTCAGGAAAATTTGAACGAATGAGGTTAGCCATCATGAAATAGGGAGTCCAAAATTACTGGGGATCTTGGCTGAGGTGAACGAAGGGCAGCTGGCGAAGTAGTGGGATTTTCTAGCACTTGGAATTCCTTTTGAGCGTACAAACTCAATCAGTCGAATATAAGAAAAACCACCCTAAAGGTGTAGCAGGCGATTATTGGAGCTAATAGAGCATGGTGGTCTCGGGCACTACATTAAAACTGGAATTAAAGTTAAGGGAGATCCAATCGGATTTGTTCTCGAACAAGCACTATTTACAGAATACATACCAAAAGAGTCTTCGTCGTCGTTTGTTACCCCCACGATAACCCCTACCGCCGATGCTCTACATCAGCGCAGCTAACAGATGTTGAGATTCTCGAAATACAGTCAAATACTACGACTAACAATGTCTAAGCCATTGGCTAAGCAAAGTACTTTCAATCGGTTTATTTAGTATTCGGTGTCGAACGTGTGGTAATTCTATCCTTGATTTCGTTTGATATTTTTCGTTTGATATTGTTCGTATCCGAATGTCCTTCTACGTAATAATAAAAAACAAAGACGTCTAATGCACATTTTTTAAATTTAACTATTTCATAAACGAATCTTCATAAAACAACAAAAAATCTCAAATCCCATTAACTGCATTGATTTTTTTGTGCTCCTATATAAGCACAATCATAAATACTGCGTTAAATGAACTAAACTATCAGCAAGGCATTCAACTGCCTTCCGAATCGTCTATTTCCAACTCACTGAGAGTTATAATGCAGTGCTAAAGAACTGGCAATACCTTTGTCCTAGCGCAAACCCTATTCTATCATCTTCTTATTTCCCCGTGCATGCGGGCACGTATAGAGGTCAAAACAATTCCTGACAGAGAGCTTTTCCGTTCTGCAAAATTATCAATAAAAAGCTGAATATGATTGGTTGCGGAAGGGGCACCACGACGGTAACTTGCAACTCGTGGTAAATACATAGAGAGAAAGAAATAAAGCGGAGAGATGATGAACCACCATCAGAGGAATAGAAAGAGCAATAGAGATTGGAGATAGGGAAGGAAGTAGGAGGAGCAGATATATGAAAAAAAAAACATGTGAAGAATAAGGAGACAACGTAGAGCAAAAACACTGAACGCGTTACGTGTTGCGTCTCCTTTACGATAGAGACTCGGTGTTCATAGATTCCAATTAGCCACGGATGTAATGAAGCCACGGTACACTACCGCTGCTGCTGCTGCTGCTGCTGCTGCTGATGCTCTTTCTCTTATACTTGCGTCTTTTATCCTCTCTTGACGTTTTGTTTTCCTCATTGTTAGCTACCTTACATTCACGCGTGCAACGGAAGTTTTACTCTTCACAATAACGACTCATGTAAGTATTTAAGATTTCTCGTCAACTTATAGTATCCTCTAGATAGTTTTATGCCGCGAGCAGCACCAGAGAAAATAAAACCTTATGATATTTCGATGTTTTCAAATAGAAGACCTATCGTATCATCGACACAATAATATTTATTGTACTAATGTTATTTAAAAACATACTCATGAAAAATTCATGAAATCCTTCGTTTTTATGGTATTGAAAAGAAACATAATACAATTATCTTTATTGTATTTAAATTACAATGAGATTAAATTATTTTATTTTCATGCGAATGGCATTAGGATTAAATATAAAGAAAAAAAAACTTTTACAAACTACTTTGACATATAATAAATATCAATAAAAGTTATATTCTCACGCCTCTTGCTTATAAATTTTGAGACACATACGATCTTACAAGTTTGTTTAAAATTAATAGTACCGATTGCAAGGTCTGAAAATTTAACGTGAAGACTGTGCGGAAGACTAGACTGAAGTGAGTAAAAACGTGATTTATTAGTAGCTTTAACTGCGAGAAATTTTTAAAAAGTATGCTTTATGATTCATAGAGAGGATTTATTAAAGACTGGAATAATTCGAAAGACTTATAATAAGAGTAAAAAATATGGAAGAGTCGCGACAAACTTTTTTTTTCACCGCCTTTCTTATACTACATATTTGGCTTAATTTTATTGAGAAAAATAATTTGAAAATTTGTACACGAGCCGAAAGTCATGAAGTATCGATATTTAATTTCTACTAGCCAAGGGAGGATAGTCACCATAGTGGATAAAGCTGTATCAAAATTAAATATCTTTCAAATTCTAATTTAACTTAAAAAACGAATAATTAAATTCGCAGTATATAACTGAAAAAGGTTCAAAGTTATAAATCACAATCACTTTACGTGAATGCTAAATGTTATATAATCAAATACAATGCTACAATTTTAAAGCGATTATATTGTATTTGCCGACACTAATTAAAATTATTAGAATATTGTAATTGAGGATTTTAATAATTACAGTGAAGTCTTAAAAATAAATTTCAATTCTGCTTGTAGGCAATTTATTTTTAATAAAAGCAATTAGTAGTTTGTCTACTATTATTGCTTCGCATTCATACAGCAGAACATGACGTTAGTAAGCCTATGAATTTGCAGTCGTTTTTATTGGCGATACTGAATCGCGAACAACTCTATAAATGTGAGATTTATGACATTATCAAATTATTTTTTCTGAGTGAGTTGATGTACTTCTATAAATGTCTGTCTTAATCCTGTCAACTTCAGCTTTTCATCATATAAACATCGGCATCGGCATCTACGGCTTTATTCCTAAACTACAATGTTCACACATTTTTCTCCAACGTTCTTTTAAAAATTTAGATGGGATTCACTTTTTTCATACTGTCGTCATCGAATGCATAACGCGATTCAAGATAATACACGTACAATGGACGTTACATTGTTTCTCTTCAATTTACTTTTAACACCCAATCCAACATTTTTGTGCATTTTTATTGTTTTTTATACAGCACGCGTTGTAACGATTGGTAAAATTCCAATAAAAATCATGGAAAAATTGTGACACGGAACTTGAATACTACATTGTGTTTATTTATTTCAGGAATAAAATTACATAAGCAAATTGTTCGAGTTCATTTCTCAAAATAAAACAAGCTCGAATTTACAATACAGAAAATCATTTGATTACTTAATGAAGGTCAATGCTTGAATTTCCTCTTTATACCGATCAATATTTAATTTCTTATCCAACAGACTGTATTTTAAATGTTCTATAATTAGGGACAGCGGCGGGAGGAGGAATTGTTTTTCTTAAAAAGACGATGTAAAATGAACGAGTAGTAGCCCTTTCGTAGCGAACTTATCATTTTCCGGGGAATGAATTCATTCGGCCACCAAACAGCTATTTACTGGCAAGTTGCGTTTTTAAACAGCCGTCGAAAAAGTTTTTTA